CAAACCAAAAATGATTTTAAAAAAAGCTACAGAATAGTTAATGTCTAAACAGCAGTGAATTAATCTCAACAGTTGTATTAAAAGCGCATGAAAAGGTTTATTGATGTTCCAACCCTAATGAATCACACTTTATTCCCAATATTTGTTATTCTTTTTAAATAGATGTATATATGGATATCATTTTAAACGAAAAAAAGAAAAAAAAAATAATTTCCCATATTCAGGAAACCTTTGCCGAATAGCTTCTTTGTCAAAGTGTTAAGTAACCTAAGAGTTCCTTTGCTCCACCGACACCCTATAAGCAACCCTCTGCTGCATTTGGATTCTTCCTTGCATAATCAGCGCCTCTACAACTGCTGCTCCTCCTTTCCAGTTCCAAGTGAGCCTGCAAAGGAAGCCCCAGCTGATAGTAAACCGCTGGCTGATGCCCCCGAAGCCCCCGCGAAGCCGGTATTGGCAGAAGAGACTAAAGAAGAGGCGCCACAGGAGGAGGAGGAGCAGGTAATGGATATTGTTGCTAATGAAATATGTCTACGTGTGTTTAGATTCGAGTGGTGCGTAGATATATCCATTTTCAATTTCGACTTGTTATTTCTTCTTGTGGAAAGCTTACACCCGTTTTTTTATATTGTTCGACCGCCACAATCTGTTCTTTATCATCGGTGCAGAGCCAAATTCCTAATCAAATGGGAAAGAACATACATCATTTCCTTCTTACTGTGTATACCTCTTTGCCTTCATTTTAAATTTTTCCTATATATGCTGACTTGGGCCGACTGCTTAAGTACCTTTACACCGGAGATCCCCTAAGGCCCCGAGCGCTCCCACCCGCAGGTAGTGGTCGTCCCCTCTGCCTTCCGCTCCCGCGACCACCTCGAGGCCATCCTGGGCCTGGACGAGACCTCGAGGGACACGGCGGCGCGCACCGACCCCATCGCCGTGGCCACGCTCAAGGACCTCAAGAAGATCTACGAGGCGGCCATCAAGCCCCTCGAAGGCCTCTACAAGTACCAGGACATCTCCAACCGCCACGTGTCCGACGCCGAGCTCTTCGGCACGCCGCTCGTCCTTCTCTTGGGCCCCTACTCCACCGGGAAGTCCACCTTCATCAACTACCTCACAGGCGTCGAGTACACCAAGCGCGCCCTCAAGACAGGTACGAAGGGGCTTTCAGAGCATTTCACTTTGCATAGGTCTGCAGAATTAAAAACTATACGTATACATGCAAATACAAGCACACACATTCTTGCATATTATAAAAAAACATAAGAAAAACAATCGCATAAAACATCCAGATATCAATAAAAAGATACATATATTCCTATATTCACACTGCCCTATAAAACAGACGAATAATCCTCCTTGCCCACATCGTTGGCTTATAAAAAGGAACACCTTATCCCCCAAATAAACCTCCATTGTAGGATCAGTGCAAAATTCCGCTTGATGTGACTTACTAATTACAGCAATTAAAAAAAAATCCCCCACCATATTTCCGCAGGGACGCCGCCTAGCCACGGTGTGTTCCGCATCATCCAGTATGGTGAGAAGGACGGAGAGCTCGACGGCACCGACCTGAGCGCCCACTGGTCCTTCACGTCACTGCAGAAGTTTGGACAAAATTTCATCGACCAGATTCAGGGGAAAGCCTTGAGTAGCCCTCTGCTGAAGAAGGTGATGCAGCTTTTTTATCGTCATCTTTTTGTTTCCCTGTTATTTTTTGTTTTTTGAATGTTGGATCTATCATGCTTATTGGCTTAACTATGTGTGTGCATGTGTGCATATGTATATATATGTGTGTGTGTGTGTGTGTGTGTGTGTGCGTGTGTGTGTGCGTGTGTGCATATGTATATATATGTGTGTGTGTGTGTGTGTGTGTGTGTGTGTGTGTGTGTGTGTGTGTGTGTGTGTGTGTGTGTGTGTGTGTGTGTGTGTGTGTGTGTATGTATATATATATATATATATATATATATATATATATATATATATATATATATATATACATATATATACATGTTAGAAGAAACGGACACACACACACACACACACACACACACACACACACACACACACACACACACACACACACACACACACACACACACACACACACACACACACACACACACACACACACACACACACACACACACACACACACACACACACACACACACACACACACACACACACACACACACACACACACACACACACACACACACACACACACACACACACACACACACACACACACACACACACACACACACACACACACACACACACACACACACACACACACACACACACACACACACACACACACACACACACACACACACACACACACACACACACACACACACACACACACACACACACACACACACACACACACACACACACACACACACACACACACACACACACACACACACACACACACACACACACACACACACACACACACACACACACACACACACACACACACACACACACACACACACACACACACACACACACACACACACACACACACACATATATATATGTGTGTGTGAGTGTGTGTGTGTATACATATACATATATATGTGTGTGTGTATATATATATATATATATATATATATATATATATATATATATATATATATATATATATATATATATATATATATATATATATATAATTGTTTCTGAGCTTCAGAGTAATTAAGTTTGCAATATCATATAGCTCTAAATAACAAAAGCCTATATCAGTGTACATAAAAGAGTGACAAAATGAAACAAAAAATCACGAATGAAAGATAAAGAAGAAACGGAAACAAAAGGAACGGAGACCACCTCCAACGATACGAGAAGATGACGTCACCGCCTCCCCTAAGGACTTCGGGGCGCGTCTTCAATGGCGTCTCAGGGTTCCAGGGAGCGCATGCCTAATTGGTTGCTGAGGAAGGTGAATCAGCAGGCTTCTCCAGTAGCCTGTTAGGCATGTGCGCTCTGTCTATTCTCCGCCACGCTGCTCGCCTCTGAGGAATCGCCCGCCGGTGTCTCAAGCCCTGTGCCTGACCACGCGTTCGCTCTTATGTGTTCGTGAACTTTCTTAGACTGTGGTTTATGTTTGAAGTCGTTTTCAAGTTAGCTTAGAAATATTATTGTTGTCAAAGGCATCGATCGACTTTGTTTCTTCAGTGGAAATTCCGATTTAGAAATAAGGGTTTTGGTACCACGTCTACTAGTTAGGAACAATGTCTTTTATTGTGTGAGAAATCCCGAAAAGGCTGTCTGACATCAGTGCTTTGTGCCTTTGCAAAACTATTTTTTTAGATCAACTAAGAAAGATGTTTCTGTTGTGATGAATACATAGATATATAAATGGTTAAAGTGATAAAGACGCAGAAGCAAACAAGCAATAAATTATAACAAATGGAAATGATAGTCAAAAAAATTGTATTTTCCCAAAATGATCCTCTTCATTCCCAACACTGCCTCACCCCCACCCTGCCCAGACCAACAGCGTGGCCCCGAAGCCGCCCTTTGACCCGCTGACCACGCCCTCCTCCTCCCGCAGGTGACCTTCGTGGAAGCTCCTGGCATTCTCGAGATGAGACGGCCCGGCGAGCGCCTGTACCCCTACAACGACGTCGTCCAGTGGTTCATCGACCGCGCTGACCTCATCCTCGTCATGTTCGACTACACGAAACTCGACGCCGGCTACGAGATGGAGGCCATCCTCGACCAGCTCAAGGGGCGCGAAGCTCAGGTTAGGCGGAGCGGAGGCACACGCAAAGATTTTTTTCAAGCCATTTTGGTGCCTTTAGAAAATGTTATGGGAGAGTAAATTCTGTTCTTGGCTTGCGTATTTTTTGTGAAATTCGACGCACAAATATAACCAGTGCAAACACAAACACACGAGTCCCCTAACCAAGCGACCTTTCCAGACACGCATCCTGCTAAACAAGGCGGACCAGGTGCCGCCCGAGGAGTTGATCAAGGTCCAGGGCAGCCTCTTCTGGAACCTCAGCCCCCTCCTGGGCGTCTCCACCCCGCCCACCGTCTACGCCGGCTCCTTCGCCTCCAGGCCCTACCGCCCCGCCTCGCCCGCCAAGCTCTTCGAGGTGAGTCAGCGATGCGCACGTCGCTCTTCTTCGTTACTCGTTTTCTTTTCCTTTCTTTCTCCTTTTTTATGCGGACTTCGTTTGGTTCTTTTCCCTTTTTTTCCTTTCCCTGGCTACTTTTATGGTCTTCGCCTTCCTCTTTTTCTTCTCCTGCTTCTTTCTTTTCTGTGAACTTAGTTTGGGTCTCTTCCCTTTTTTCTTTTTTTTCTTTTTCTTTTCCCTGGCTACTTTGTTTGGCCTTCGCCTTCCTCTTTCTCTCTTCTTTCTGCCTTTGATTTCTTTGTTTGCTCTCCTTATCGATATTATGTGTGTTGGTAAAAAATATAGTAATGATGATAACAACAATGGCAATAATGATGCCAAAAGCAACAAAAACAATAGTAAAAATACAATAATACTAGTAATAGCAATAATGATAATGAAATAGTGCTGATGATAATGATGGTGATGATGATGGTAATGATGAATTATTACTACTAGTGTTACTAATGATAACGTCAATAAAAAATACTAATGAGACGAATGGCGCTTCCAGGCTCAGGAGGAGGCTTTGCTCCACGACATCGCTCAGGCCATCAACAACCGCGTGGACAACCGCATCGCCATCGCCCGCAGGCACGCGGTGAGTTGTGGTCGATTTCCTTTCCTAACTTCGAAATCATTTCGCTTCATTTTCAGAAAGGCAGCGAATTGGTTATACTAACTACTTGAGTATAATGGAAAATGATAGCTCAGTTCAGGAATAAATGTTGTAATTTTTGTTTAGAATGCAGGTACGCGTCACGAACCATGGTATTTGACAGAAAATTTGATAGAGTAACCATTTATGAAAAAAAAAAACATTTTTAATTATTGCTCTGAAACCAGGTTCGTGTGAGGAACCACGCGCAAATGGTGGACACGTACCTGACCACCTTCTACATGAACAAGGGCTTCCTCACCAGCAAGCACAAGCTGGCCGAGGACATCATCGAGAACCCACACAACTACAACATCTACGAGGGCATGAGTCTCCTCACCAACATCTCTCGCTACGATCTGCCCGACCCCGAGGTGTACAGGGACTTCTTTAGGTGAGTCAAGTTCCGGTGTGTTCTGGTTGGGTTCTAATACATGCATGGGGTTTGGGGAGGGAAGCTGTCGAGCGTTGGAGATAGTGTTAACCGCCGTCCTCTCCCCAGGGTCCACAACCTGTACGACTTCCAGAGGCTGAAGGACACATGCTCCTACTTCCGAGGCTGCCCGCTCGCCAAGATCGACGGCGCCATCAGCCACGACCTGCCGGAGCTGCTGGACCGCCACCGCCGCCTGACCGAGGCTGCCCAGGGCGGTGCGGGAGGCAAGCCTGCCCCCGTGCCCACTCCAGGAGTCCGAGGTGCGGTGCCCCCCGCTGCCCATGTCCGGACGTCATGAGCAGCTCCTCCCTGACGCCCCCGCTGCCTGCGCGTGCCTCATTAGGCCTGAGGGGGTCAGCACATGACCAAAGTGTGATATTCAAACTGGAGATGCGACTGCCCACCGAGCCGCCATGACCCAGCTGATGTGCAAGGGCGGCCGGGCGGGAGTAGGGCGGAGTCATCTCAGGTCACGCCCCCGCCGTACCCCCGCGACACTGATTCTTGAGAAGTAGCAAAAGCTGCTACTTTAACACCTGTATCAACTTTCCCTACTGGAGACTGCCATGCTGCTGGCTTTAGTCCTGGTGGAGGCGAGATCCCCGGGGCGAGGCTGGCAGCGAACCCCTGCATTCCCATACAACCATGGTCCACACAGCTCAGCGATACTTCATATGTCTTGTTCTTCACACCGTTCTTGTATGTCTCTGCCTTTCACCTCGCTTAACAGCATGACCTCAGATGACCTGCCATGGGGGTGTAGGGGAGCCACGTGAGGCGCCTCAACTCTCGCTATTGACCTTGTCGTGTGGCTGCTGAGCCCCTGGATGATGCTCAGAGTAGAGTTCAGGCGCCTCTTACTGTATTATGCTCATATGGAGACACACTTTACCACGACGCACCGCAAATGTATAGGAAACAACTCAAGATTCCTCCTCATCGTGTAGAGTCTTAGAGCATTCCACTTGCGTAGCTGGTCTGACTGCTGTGCTACGACTTACGCAGAAGTTTGTAAAAAGAAATTGTCGACTATGTTTCACTCAACTTGACGCTGGTGTCGTTGGCCCCCAAAGTTATCGCAAGAAGGATAGTAAAGGAACTCCTCCGTGTTTACATATCCCTAGTTTTTCCTTGCTCTTGAGATAACCATTCTCTTGTCGTGATTTTCGACAGTGGGGGAAATCCACATGATAAGTGGAAGGCGACATTATGCAAAAGAATGTCGCCATTTTCCACCCTGTTGCCTCAAGAACATAACTTTGACAGGCAGGCCACGACGCCAGGCTGGAGACGCTAAACACAATTTAAACTTAAGGATTTTCTTTTTTATATAAACGGATGAGTACAATCTAGTCAGTTTGATGTTTTATAATTGCCAAGGGAGAATGTCAGTCACTCGACGCTTCTCCGTGTAAGATGCCTATGGATTATAATAACGGCTTTCAAGCGTATCGGTCGCAGAACCAGAGATGCTTCTAGCGGTTCGCAATGTAGAGCTGCTCTCTGGTCGGACGGTTCTATGGTCCTACGGCTCCATAGGATCCGCCGAAAGCTCCGTGTACTTGCGAAGCAGCTGCACTTCATGAAAAGTGATGGTTGATTTTCTTTTGTTTACGCTTGCTTGGCTTTCACAAGTATGGAAGTTCTGATGTGCACCCACGGCCGTGTTCGAAACCCGGACAGAGCCAACCCACAGGACTTAGTTTTGGAGTGATGTATCAGCTCACATCAAGGATTTCAGGGTTAAAACTTTTGCTTTTTAGAAATGGTTGCAGCTTTTTTAAGCGCGCTCTCTCTTCTTTGGAATGGCACACTTTTATTTCTGAGTGCATTTTGTTTTGTAAAAATAAAGGAATGTATATTAATGCAGAGTTCCCTGTTACGCGTATGTAGTTGTGTTTATACGTGTAGATAATATATTGGATCTTAGATAATATTGTTAACTACAGTTACAAAGCGTTTTAGATGCACGTGATAAGTGACATAGAGTGGGAACATGAAGTAGTTAGCCAGTTATCTTGTTATCTCCAGTCTAATAGGGTTAAAACATTGACGAACAATTCAAATATTTTTATTATGTTATGTCTGTTGAAAATCGTTTCATTTTGATCCTGGTAACAAGGTATTCTTTTAGTAATGTATCGACGATAGCATCTGTGATTGGATAACTTTGTATATGTTGATTACTGTCATAGGCGTCCTTATGTAACCCTATGTAATAACAGGCAAACGTAGGGAGTGTTTTAATAAACATGTGAAAGTTT